TGTTTTTACCAACTATTTGTGATTACTGTTCAGCATTCATAAATGGTTAAATCCCTTGCTCTTAAGGACACTAAAAATCTCTCTTACCTCTGGACCCATAACACAAAGTTCCACCTGCTCTCCTCATTGTTTGTGTGTGTGTGTGTGTGTGTGTGTGTGAGTGAGTCGGGGTGGTGAGGAATGGTGATCTGGTTAGTGTGATCATTGCCTCTGTGCCTGCCAGAGCCAAGTTCCCAGGCCCTGGATGGGGGTAAGGCTCTTTAGTACACCTTGGAATTGAGTGGGATCACTTTCCATTCACACAGTTTCTGTTAAAGGATCCAGATTTCACAAAAAGATGTCAACCTCCCTCCTCTTCAGTGTCCATGGGTGTTGATGAGGAATGCAGCTCACCTGCTTACCCTCCCATTGCCTTTCCTTACCTATCCCCATGTTTCCATCCCCCCACCCCTCAACCCTAATTGGTCAAAAGAGAAGTATTGCTCTGGGGCCTGTGAGAAGCATTCAGTTCATCCATTGGCAGATTTTCTAAAAAGGAATCAGTGATGGGTACTTTTCTGTGTCAAATTGGTAAGGCCAGAATACCCAATTACTCAACCAAAATGCTAATCTAGATGTGTGGTGTGAAGAAATTCTGTAGCTGTGGTATCTATATATAATCAGTTGACATTCAGTAAAGATATTACTCTTGACCTTAAGGGTCATGCAAATATTCTCCTATGGAAGAAATTCTGCCTGTGGACAGCAATAGCAGCTCTTGCTAGAGAATATCCAGCCATCCTGTCAGTCCCGCCAACTTCTAGCATCTCATAAGCCAATTTCTTGAAATAAATCTCTTAATATATAGATATTCTGCTGGTTTTGCTTGATACAATGTTATTTAAATTTTATTTCCTTTCTTTTTTAATTTATATAATCTGATGTCTGTATGTACTCTTAAAATATATGCTACAAATAAGCATCTGACTCTTGCCTTAAATTTAAATAACTGCCATCCATGTCAAAACTCGGTTCTATATCAACAGAGTCATGATGCTCTGCTCTAAGTGGTGTACTTGGGGCACCCCTCCATGGGCCCAGCATAGAGATTACAGGGCAATGGTGTCTGGACATTTTGAGCAATGCAACCAACTGTGTTCTTGAGACTGTTATTCTTATATTGTCTGACGTTAGCTGCTGTTGAGTCACACAACTCATCATGATCCCATGCACAATGAAACAAAATGCCCAGGCTCCATCTGGAAGCTCTAATAAAACCTGTTCAGAATTACAGCAACATGCAAGTCTCCACTGACAGATGGAGTTTTATGTGTCAACTTGGTAAGACCAGAGTCCCTACCCATACTATGAAAGGAGCATCCTCACATGAAGCACTCCATGATCTTTTCCTTAGTTAGCATGGGTGAATAAAGTGACCACCACCCACAGCAGGACACTGTTTGTTGTTGCTGTTTCCCCCAGCATGTTGTCTAGAAGAGGAGAGGTTTCCTAGCTGAGAAATACTGCTTTGCACATATTTCTGTCGTCTGTGCATCTTGCTAACTGAAACAGCAGTATGAATGTTAGTAATTCCAGTAATTTCTCTTACCTTCCACACAAGCGGCTCAAATATTCAAGAAACAGGTTTGTGATTGAACTGTAAGCACTTACCACGCTCTGCCAAACATAAGTTCTAGAAGAATCTTTGTGTGAACTAGCAGGTTTGAACATTTTCACAGTCAAAATAAAATGGGGGATGCGGGCTCTCATTCTCAATTCTGTCTGGTCAAATATTTCTCTTTATTCATGACTTAGCCACTAGATACCTTTCAATTAAGGCAGAGATTAATAATGTACAACTACTACATTATTATGGGCCCCATGTTCTCAAGAAACAGAATGTTCAATGATCACACAGAATGTTTCAGCTTTTATTTTAGAGTGAGCTGCTCTGCAGTGGGAAAACAGGGTTAAGTAGATATATTACATAACTGTACTAAGTTAAGTGAAACCAAATAAATATTTTAAATCTCAGAAATCAAAACTCACAGGAAGACTGTAAGAATTCAACACAGAACTACAACCTTTGCAGTACAATAATCTACTTTCTGCAAAAACAGTTTGGATACTTATTCAAACTACTACCTAAGGCATGAGACCTACAATTTGGACTTACACATGCTAATACAAAGAGCAAAAACCTGGAAATGCAATAATTTCTCAAAAAATTTTGAAAAACTAGCATGAAACTGAGCCTCAGAGTTCTATTTCATGACACACATCTACTAAGATGCCAGTCTCTGGCTTACTATGGATGACACAGTAGTGTCAGGCTGATGTGTTCCCACTTTATGGATGCCGAAACAGCTCCAGATTCCATCTGTGAGTTACGGAGATACGGATCACCCACCTCTCCCGCCAGCATTCAGGGCTGTTCATGCACAGCTACTAAATTCACGAAAACAGATGGACTCTAGATGATCACACCTGGCTATATGTGTGAGGTCCTAAATGTCCACTCTGCTCTCTGTCCATCATCTTAGGTGATCTGCAGTTACTTGAAAATAACACTTCCGTTTACAAAAAAAAATTCTACAAAAGAATTTTGTGATCCATAAAGAAATCAGTGAAATGCTTCCTAGAAATTTGAAAGATTCTAAAAGGAATTCCAAAGAGACCCTGAAGGGCCCTAACAACAAACTCTTCAAATATAATGATGTCCACTTCAAAATGCACTGAGAATGCAAAGCCTAATTTTGAGCTATCACTATTACCACCTAAAGCAGAAGGTTTTCACATTTACATTTTCTAAATTGATAACTATGAATTATCTTAATACTCCTAATCACATTAAAGGCTAAAAAAGTATCTATGATTTACCTAAATCCTTTCCCCCCACCCAAGGGAGATTTTTTTCCCTCTCACAAAAAATTTTTAAATATTTTGAACATGATTAACTGACAAACTGATAATGTCTATCAAACAAACTTAACAAATCATTCACTCTTTCTTATACACAGTACTGGGCCTTGCAAGAAGATACAAACACTTTCTGAAAATTCCACTTCTGCTTGGAAATCACCCAGAGAAAAATGCCTCTTACAACACCATGCTGGTCATTGATAGTCTTATGAAGCTCTGCCCTTATGTCTGAGATGTAATCCATGGCATATGCTTAGAGAGGCCCAAGGGTCAGCCCTCTCTCTTAATCCATTGTAGAGATAAAATAGAGTGCTGGCCAGCCTACTCTGTGAGATCAGAGCCAGACATATACCAAGTTTACCCCGAATACTAGGTATCTTCTGTTGTTGTTAAGTCCTGTGGAGTAGTTTCCAACTCATAGCAAGCCTGTAGGATTAAGATATATGAAAAGGACTTCACTAGGTCATCAGAGAAAATGAGAGGAAGGGGAAGAAGTATACCGGAGAAAGGGAATGAGAAAGCAAGTTGATATGCATTGATTTTCATATTATCCATTCTGAAGAGAACTTGTGAGAATATATACGTATATTACTTATAAAGTTCACAGTCATGAAATACACTGACACAAAGACTTACAACTAACTGGTCCGAGTCTGATGAGAGGTGGATTTGAACAAAGAAAGGAGCTATAACTTAACCTAAAGTTGTCCAGGTCAGGTTCGCAGATGCTCCCCACCGCAGCAGATTTCCCTAGGATGGCCAGCGGTGAGAATCTGGTTCCTCCAGGGGGCGCAAGAACCGCGCGTCTGTTGCCTCCTCATAGCAGGACCTTCTAGAGCCTGGCACGCTGAATTCACTAGGAGTTTATGGGTCTTGGAACATTTCCAGGCTAGGGCTTGGGTAGGAAAGGAGAAAAGCAAAGAAAGAAGGCCCCTTCACTTCACCCCCACACCTGCTTTACGGCTTGAGCAGCTTAACAGCGCTCTACACACACATACATTAGGCCTGAGCAGCCTGAGCAGAGCTCTCTGCGCTTCTCCCAAGGGAAAACACAGAACCAAAGTCGCCTTGACCTCCTTCTCCAGCGGTTGCTGTTGTGTTGTTATGTGGGTTCAAACTCATAGCGACCCTATATAGAGTTTGCGAGGAGTGACTGATGGGTTTGAATCTTGCAGTTAACAGTACAGTGCTTATGCTACAGCGCTGGGGGTGGGGGGGGTGGCTGTGGCGTGGGGTAGAAGAGACAGGGGATCGCGCCATCTACTAGCTGAAGCAAAAGCAGAAGGTATTTGCTGCGGGTCAATTTAAAGCAAAGTGCTGAGGCAATCTTGGAACCTAGACAACGTTCAGCCAGCAGAGGGCTTCCTGTAAAGCACTCCGTGGAGACCTCAGAGGTGGGAGAGAGGTACAGGGATGTTCCAGTGATGGTGACTACTACCCCTTTCCTCTCCTCAATTCCCACAGTGCCAAGCACTGGGGCCAGGTCCATGCCCCTCAGTTTTAGAAATCAGTCAATAGGTGTTAGCAGCCGAAGTTTGCGTTGAGTATATGCATTCTTTTCAGGACTCTGCAAAACCAAATCACAGCCCTGGCTCAGAGTTTCAGATGCAATAAATAGATCTGGAGTGGGGCTTAAGAACATGCATCTCTAGTAGGTTTCAAAAGGATGTAGATGTTGTAAACCAGGACAGCTCTTTGGGAATCGAGTTCCTGCTCCTCCTAAGAGGCACGTGTCCCAGGCCGATGGGCCAGGGACCAGGCTACAGAGGCTTCAGGACGCTGTGCGGCACGCCAACAGCTGGTTGAGGCTTCTGCGGAAGTTGTCGTCTAGAAAGGCGTAGAGGAAAGGGTTGAGGCAACTATTGGCATAGCTCAGGCTAGTGATGAAGTAGGACATTGCAACGATGAGTGGTGTCTGTGGGAGGTCGGTGGTAAGCGCCACCACGGTGCTCAAGTGGTAGGGAGTCCAACAGAGTAGGCACACGGCCAGGATAGCCACCACCAGTATGGTCACCCGCTTCTTTGCACGGTCCAAGGCCTTGGCATGGCTGTCCAGACGCATGGAGCGCAGCCGGCACAACAGGGAGGTGTAGAGGGCGCAGATGGCGGTCACTGGGAGGGCAAAGCCCAGTACCAGCGTGTAGAGGCGGCTAGCGCGCCACCACCAGGCCTCGGGTTGTGGGAAGATCAGCACGCACTGACGCCGTCCCTGTTCGTTATCTATTCGTGCGAACACTGCGAAGGGCAGCACGACGAGAGTGACAAAGACCCACACCGCCAGACTCACGACGCGCGCAGAGCCATAAGAGCGGCGGGCTACGCGGCGAGATTTGGCGGTGGCTAGCACCACTAGGTAACGGTCAGCGCTCATGACCGTGAGGAAGTAAAGGCTAGAGAAGGTGTTATATTGGTCGATGGCCACGATCAGCTTGCACATGAGCTCCCCGAAAGGCCACTGGCTCAGCAGGAAATCAGCAATGTTGATGGGCAGCACAAGCGTAAAGAGCTCGTCTGCGATGGCCAGGTTGAGGATGAACAGATTGGTGACGGTCCTCCGTCGCGGCGCCCGCAACAGCACAAACAGCACTGCGGAGTTGCCCGCCAGCCCCACAGCACAGATCAACGTGTACACTACCGGCACCGCCACTGCCAACGGCGGCGGCAACGGCGGTGGCAGCGGCGGCAGGCTAGACGTGTTGGGGCAGCCTGGAGTGGGGCCAGGGTCAGACGCGTTGGCCAGCTCAGGCTCGGAGGACGATGCGTTGTACATTTCGCGGGTGGGTCGGGTCCCGAACCTGCTCCTGAGTGCTGGTGGCAGCGCTCCTAGGACCTTCCTAACACTCCGCGGAAAGGAGTGTTCTTGACCACCCCCGACGCGCCGTCGCTGCCACTTGGGGGCTGGAAATCGGAATAGAACGCACAGGCTTTAGGAAGGGATGTAGTTCAGAGGGCGACAGGTGGCGCCCCAAGCCCTCTCCTATGTGATAGCTTTCTGGAGATATCTCGTTCCATTCAATTAGTTTGACTGTAATAAATGAAGTGCTAGGGAGAACAGTTAAATCTTTTAGTTAAAATACAAACAGTTAATCTTTTAGTTAAAATACAAACCTATGCTCTCCAGGTTTACGACACCCTAGAGAACCCGGGTAACCCAAAATAGTTATGTGATGGCAAGCTTCATTTCCCCTGGATTCCATGCACCCTGGGTAATACCAAGTTTAACAGCAATCTTACCTTAACTCCGCCGGTCAGGAAAAGGATCTGTCTTTCCTGGAGCTGTCTGGAGAGGAACCCGCTAGTCAGATCCCAGCTCTTGGTGTCGGTCCAGAAGCCGCAGCTACCTCCTCTGTGGATTCCGCGTGCGCCCCTGAGCACTGGAGAGCGCAGCCGCGACTACGTTGCTGGACACCACCTCCTGAGCTCTCGGCCCCCACCCCACACTCCCCGATAATTAAAAGAACAGCGAACTAACAGGGAGCAGCTTTACTCAAAAATTAACTTTTTTCCCCCTTAGAGAACTGTAATCTCACTCCATTTGAAGCAGTAACAACTGAGACTCCCATTTCATTTTTAAACACCATGCTCTAAATGGGCTAATGTATATTAAATTTGAATCACAGGCATAACTTGCTGCTATGTGAAGGAAAAGTTGAAAGCAACCCACAAGTTTTCTGATTGTTTTGCCTTCGCCTTGTTAGTTATTAACAAAAGATTGTTTTAGGAGACTTCAAAAAGTTCGTGGAAAAATGGAATTAAAACATAAACATAAAAATATATAAACTTTATTTCTCAACATAAGCTCTTTCAAGTTCAAGACAGTTTTATAAGCAATATTACAAGCTAGTTAGTCCTTTCCTGATAACACTGAGAGTCCTGGGAATTTACCCATTTAAATGCACTCATTTTTACATTATATTAACTGAAGAAAAATATTGTTAGGGGCCATCAAGTCAACAGCTCCCACTAATAAAACAACAGAACAAACACTGCCATCCTCACAATTATTCTCATATTTGATCCCATTGTTGCTGCCACTGTGTCAATCCATCTCTGGAATCTTCCTTTTGTTTTGCTCACCCTCCACTTATTTTTACAGGAACCCTTGTGAGTAGGATAAGTACTGGACTGCTAGCCACAAGGTAAGGGGTTCAAACCCATACGATGCTTCTTGGAAACCCTAAACAAGATTGCTATAGCCAGAACCAACTCAACAGTAAACAGCAACTAACAACAACAACTTTTTCAAGCATGATGTCCTTCTCCAGGAACAATTCCCTCCTGGCATGTCAAAGTATGAAAGATGAAGTCTTGCCATCCTTCAAAGACAGATGTGTTTTGTCTTCTGACAGTCCACTGTATATTCAACATTCAACACCATAACTCAAATGCTTCAGTTCTATGTATGGTCTTCCTTATTATTGTCCAACTTTCTCATGCATCTCAGGCAATTGAATACCACGGCATTGGCCAGGCTTACGTTCGTTAGTCCTCAAGCTGACATCTTTGCTCTTTAACATGTTAAGAGTTCTTTTGTAATAGATTTGTCTGTGATTATGCAATATATCTACTGGTTTCTTGACTGCTACTTCCATGAGCATTGATTATCCATCCAAGCAAAACAAAGTCTTTGAATACTTCAATATTTTCAGTAATATTTATTGTTGCAGGAGCTCTGGTAGCGTAGTGGTTACGAATCGGGCTGCGAACCTTAAGGTCAGCGGTTCGAAACTACCAGCCGCTCCGCGGGAGAAAGATGAGGCTTTCTACTCCCGTAAAGATTTACACCCTCGGAAACCCTGTACAGGGTCGCTATGGGTCGGAACCGACTCGACGGCACTTAACAACAACAACAATTTATTGTTGCAGTTGTGAGGATTTTTCTTTACATTGAAGTACAATCCATATTGAAGGCTGTGGTCTCTGATCTTCAGTAAGTATTTAAAGTCCTCTACACTTCCAGCTTCTCCACACTTAACAGTAAATTTCAGAGTCTCTTCTGACACCCATTTTGGTCTTTATTTCTTTCATGTCTTTACAATGTCCTTTTGCTTTATTCATGTATGATGTTCGTGATGTCATTCCATAACTGCTCTGGTCTCCAATCATTAATGTCCAATGAAACAATTTGTTCTTGAGATAGTCTCTAAATTCAGGTCGATTTACTCAAGGTCAGACTCCTGGAGTGGCACTGTAGATCAGCACTGGAATGCAAACCACAAGATTGGCAGTTCAAACCCACCAGCTCTTCTCAGAAACACTGTACAGTTATGAGTCAGAACAAACTTGACAACACTTAACAACAACACCATACTCAAGGTCATATTTAGGTTCTTGTGGACTTTAAATTTTTTATTCGGCCTGAATTTGTACATGAGCAATTAATGGCCTGTTCTACAGTCAACCCCTGACCTTATATTGGCTGATGATATGGAACTTCTCTATCATTCCTTAACACAGATGTAGTCAATTTGATTCCTGTGTATTCCATCATAGAGATCCATGTGTATAGTTGCTATTTATGTCATTGTAAAGAAATATTTGCAATAAATTAATCATTGGCCTTGCAATATCCTATCATGTAATTTCCAATATTGTTTCAACAAGGCCCCATTTTCCAACTATAGATTATTTGCTTCAAACTTTTGCATTCTAATCACTAGTAATTTATCAATACATCTTGATTGCATATTAGGTCAATTTCAGACCACTTGCTTTAGTAGTTGGTATGTAGATTTGAATTATAATGGTATTAGCTGGTCTTCCTTATTGTTGTTGTTGTTAAGTACCATTGAGTTGGTTCCGACCCATAGCGACCCTGTATAGGGTTTCCAAGGAACAGCTGGTGAGCTTGAACCACCAACCTTGCAATTCAACAGCTTTGCAGTCTGGCGCATTAACCCACAGCACCACACCAAGACTCTGGTCTTCCTTCTAGACGTTATGACTATTATCTTATTACAGACAGCACATTGTCTTGAAATGCTCTTTTTGAGTATGAGTATGAGGCTTTCTGCTCCCGTAAAGACTTACAGCCTCAGAAACCCTGTACAAGGTCGCGATGAGTCAGAACCGACTCCACGGCACACAACAACAACATTATGACTCCATTCCACTTCAATTTGTTGTTCATGGAACGATAAACCATAGGATTATCCAAATCAAAACAGTCAATACCAGTTCATTTTAATGCATTAATGCCTAGGATTTTCACCTTTATGCATTCTACTTCATGTTTGATGACTTCTAATTTTCCTAGATTCACTATTTCATACATTCCATATCTCAATTACTAATAGGTATTTGCAGCTGTTTCTTATCATTTCAAGTTGTACCCCATAAGCAAATGAAGATCTTAAAAGCTTTATTCCATCCACATCATTAAGGTCAAAACTATTTTCAGAAGGCGACTCTTCCCCAGTTGCATTTTGAGTGCCTTCCTAACTAAGGGGCTCATCTTCTGGCACTGTATCAAAAATATTCCATTGCTATTCACAAGGTTTTCAGTAGCTTGTCATTCGTGGTCTGTTTCTCCTCCTTCCTAGTCTTTCTTAGTTTGGAAGTTCCACTGAATATCTGCTGGTATTCAAAATACCAGAGACAGCTTTGAGCATCACAGCAATACAAGCTGACGGATACATGTTGGTAAATTGGTACCTTTTTAAGATTTCTTTAAGATTAAAAAACTAAAAGAAGTCAGAAGGAGCCAAATTAGGACTGTCCATGTAGGCCTATGCTTTCCCATAAAAACTCGCACAAAATTGTTCTTTTATAATGAGAGGAGTGAATAGGAACACTGTTATGATGGAAAAGGACTCTGGTTAAGCTTTCCCAGACATTTTTCTGATAAAGTTTTGACTAACTTTCTCAAACACTTCCACAATAAGCATATGTTATTTTTCTTTGGCACTCCAGAAAGTCAACAATGCCTTAAAAATCTCAAAAAACCATCACCACTACTTTGCTCTGGACCATTTCTACCTTTTGGTAGTCATTGATTTTATTGTGCTATGTTTCATCTCTTGTTTTAATTCTTCCAAGAAATGCTTTAGGATCTTAATCTCACTTGTTTAAAAATTCCACTGAAAACTCTCATCTGTAACTGATCTGGGCACAATAGTTTTGGTATCTATAGAGTGAAAAGTTGGCTCAACTTAAATTTTTTAGTCAGAATTATGAAAGCTGAACCAATTGAGATGTCTACAGTGTTAGTTATTGTTTCTGCAATTAATCATTGTTCAGCTTCCATTAGGGCATGAACTAGATGAAATTTTTCCTCACACAATGGAATTTTATGCAACACTGAAGAATAATGAGGAGTCAGCAAAACACCTTGAAACATGGTGAATACTATGCTGAGTGAAATTAGTCAATCACAAAAGGACAAATACTGTATGAGCTCATTATTATAAAAACTTGAGAAAAGATTTCTATACTAAAAGAAATAGTCTTTGATGGTTATGAGGGGTGGGTTGGAGCAGAGACTAATTCACTAGCTACAGGGTAGCCACATGTTAGCCCTGTGATGGTGAGGGAAATTCACAAGAAGGAGAATGACAGAATAATGAAGATAGGTGAAGATATCTTCACATATGCAAAAAAGAGTAGAGGTAAATAGGAATATATATAAAACCTTGGAATAATAGTGCTCTGTGCATAGATACATGGATTGAGACATAGCGTAAAGAAGGAAGAGTGGGATATATGCATACATTAATTTATACCACAAATATATGAGTTGTTGTTGCTGTTAAGTGCCGTCGAGTCAGTTCT